CAAGGGAGAAAAATGGTTCCATTTCCCCCAGAAAGAAAGGAGGCCAAGGGGGTTGTTGGCAAGTGTGGGGGCATTGGTGGCTCAACTACAGCATCCCTGCTCAGTGGACCTGGAGTTGCTAACTTTATGGGCTGCTAGGAAAAGGCTTGAGATAAAAGTGATCATGAGCAGTTCTGAAAGCTAGTAGCAAAACTAGTCATTAAGAGTTTTATCCTGAAGAATTCAGGGGAATACTTCTCCAGGTGAAAGTTGGGAGGAAGGACAGGAAACCAAGAGTTAAACAGGACCACAGAAAGCACACTGGCCAGGGGGACGGCCCGTGTTTCTTTATATCAAGATTAAAAGTTATAGTTCTTCAGCCTCCCTGCCAACTCTCTTTTCTCTGCTTTCCTCCATGCTTAGCTCAAACTGACTCCAGCTCCTCCACCTTCCAGACCTCCCCCGCCCTTTTTTCTTTTTAGTGACTCTTTACTGGCTCTAAATGTTAGGGGGATGGGAGGGAGCAAGGGACAGCAGGATGCGATTGGCTAAGTGAGACCAGCGCCGCCTTGATCAGTTCCCACCCACACCCTCCCTGGAGAAACAGCTGGAATGAGAAGTAGGGAGGGAAGCTAGGATTGGCTGAGAGTCAGCGGCTGGGTGTGGTGAGGCAGCAAGGATGAAGCATTTACCTGTGTAGGTAAGTCAGGAGGAGGTCAAAAGAAGAAAACAGTAGGAGGCAGGGAAGCAGTGTCTGTCTCCATCTCTGCCCTTTGAAATAAAAGGGTATCCTTTCCTCCCTTCAGCCCCCCCGACCCAGTGAAGGTGAGTGACTCACTAACTAACTTTGCTTATTCTGCAGCAAGAGGAGGGGTTTCAGGAGAAGTCAGAGCTACATAGTTTCTGGGAGAAGTGGGGTGCCTCTCCACACCCCAACTAAAGGATTCCTCCTGTGTTCAATTCTCTGAGTCCAGCCTGGGATCAGAGCAGGATAGTAGCTGAGATTTAAGTATTTAGACCAGGACCAGGAAAGCCTTTTCATTTATTTAGGTTGGGTAAGCATATTGTACAAATAAGAAAAGAAAATAGACTTGTTTTGGAAATTTCCATCTCTGAGCAATTGAGATTGAGGTGTGATTTTGAAAGAGAAAAGTTTGAGCAGAAGAAGTTTAAACGGGGTTCACTTGGGTGAGTAGAGTGCCTTGGTTTTCCATTGCATTTCTAACTGGAAACTCTCCCATGGCTTTACCAACTCAGTGTCTATCTGTATTTAAATAAAGGGTGCAGTGTGTATATGTTCGATCATAGAGGTTGATAATGGAGTTCTTGCTGGACAGGTGTGTAAGGTATGGACTGTGCTAGGTTGTTTGTAAGGACTTGTGATATCAGAAAAACCTTAAAATGTGCTACCAGTTCATCTTTGGAAAACCCACCAATAATCTAGCTACAGAGTAAAGTTTATTTGGGTTCAACTCATTACTTTTCCAACTTTTCCTATTAGTAGATATAGACACTGGCAAACGGAAAGCTACTGGGCTGTGCCGGGGCCGCGCCCACATTGATATTTCACGGCTGCATGTTGAGTCTGGTCAGAGTTCCAAGTGGGGCTCAGGCCAAGTGTGGCAAAGTCCATAAAGAGGAGAACTAGACTAGGGCAGTGGTTTTGCATTATGTTCCTTCAGGTGTCCCAGGTAGCCCTTGTGTGGCAGGGGTACCTGCTTAAGGAAGCTGGCTGTAGAAGAAGAGTCCGAGTAGCAAGTCAGTGTTCCATTTTCCACTTTGGGGGTTAACACTTTGGTCCCTAACTTTGCCTCTTTTCCTCCTGTGCAGTGGAAAGACCTCAGGGACAGGATCCCAGGGCCTGGTGCACACAGTACTCAAAGGGGTTTCAAGGGGTCAATGGAACTTTAGATGTTAGCTTCCCCCATACCACAGAAAGAGCCCACCACACCAGCTGCCTGAGGACTGCCTGTGATGGGGAACTTGTCAGCAGAGAAGGTCACCTGCTGTGTCTAATAAGGCCCTTCTGCACAAAGGGTATTTCTATCCATCTTTTCCCGTATATCACTGGTGAAAAAGAGATTCTAATGTTTCCTGGCACTCACAGAAACGTGTCCTCGTGCTTGTAAAGAGGGAGACAACACAGTGCAAATTTCAGTCTTCCTAGAATATTTCTTAGGAAGTTCTCCAGCCCAAGGCACATTTCTAGGTAGTCAGCAAAAACCTCTCTGACTACTGAGAAGAGAGGCTGAGCTCTTGGAAGATATGGGGTGGGGTTCATGGAAGGGGCTGATAAGCGGGGCTTGGGTCTGTTCAGAAAGTCTCTTCCAGTGAACTTAGACTGGGACTGGAGCCCTCTCCCTCCGCACAGGCTTCAGATGCCAGAGTGCCACATGTAGTTTATTTACTCTTGTCCAAGACTTGGCTAGTTTCAGTGGAGTGGTTAATATTTAATGTGCCTTCGGATGGGTGGCTCTGACTATAGGCTGTGCATATTTCCCAGCCCATTCCCCCCTCCTCTTAAGTCCCCCAAAGAGGTCAAGGGTGAAAAGACACTACACTCTCACCTTGACTGCTGTGCTTGTTTCTCAGGTTTCTTATCTGGCAGAAATACCTCCAGTTTCGATGGCTACCCTGATATAGCCCTCAAGTTTCAAGGTTATGGAGTTGGTAGAAGGAAATGCTGTATGTGGGTTGGGCAAAGCCAGTGAGGGGGGACGGAAAGATGGGAAGAATACTGCTCAAACTCTTTGGGTCAGAAAGCTCGGTATAGAGATGAGGTGTCAGCACCTGTGGGCTCACTCAGCTTGGTTTCAAGTTCACATCATCTCTGCAGAGATTGATTAATACGGTGCCCAATGACATGATCTTCCCTGGCATTTAGCGTCATTTCTTTGCACATCCCCCTGCCCACCCCCACCCCCTGAAGAATGTAGGTTTGGGTGAGTGCTCTCTGAACCTGGACAGTCATTAAAGGTGTGTGGCTGGGATGACTGAACTTCATCTACATGATTTCTCACATGCCTGTTTCTTTGAGGTGCTAACTTCACGAAGAAACCCTCCCCGTACTGGAGATTAAACTCAGGGGCTGAGCTACATCCCCAACCTTTTAAAATATATTTTATTTTGAGACAGGGTCTCACTAAATTTCTCAGGGACTGGCTTTGACTTGCAATTCTCTTGCCTCAGCTTTCTGAGTCTCTAGGATTGCAGGAGTGTGCCACCACACCCATCTAGTGTCATTTCTTTACTCCGGAAATATGTATCTGCTGCTAGGTCAATAAACTGTCCTGGAAATATAGGTCTGAACCAGAAAATGCATAGGGTTTAAGATATGAAATAAATGAAGAGATGCCAATCCTGTCTTTAGTATTCAGTCAGGAGTGATCAATGACCCCTCTTTAGGTGCAAATCCTCTGGCAACTTGGCTGTCCCTGAGAGCCCTCTGGAGGGGCCCAGATCCATAGCTGTCCTGAATATGTAGCTCTGGGTTTTTTACCATTTTTCTTGGTAAGAGATAGTGGGAGGAGCCCCAGGTTTCACACCTGTGAAATGAAGAAAATGTCACCAACTGTCTCAGTTACCAGGTTATTCTGAAGGTCTAATGAGCACATCTGGGAGCACTTTGGAGTAGCGTGCCAAGTTCTTGCTGAGCAAGACTATTCCTACTCTTCAGGGTCTGCAGTGTGAGTGTGAAAGGCCTCCCTGGGAAGAAGGAAACCTGGTGACCCACTGCAAAGCCTGAAGCATACTTGGAAGATCAAGGGTAGCAATTTTCTCTGAAAGTAAGAGGCAGCATCTGCTCACTCATTCAGAGAGAAAATTACATTAATTATAGTGAATCACCTTAAATATTTATTGCCCCAATTTTACATATAAAAAAACTGAAGCCCCAAACCAGACCCTTGGATCAACACTGACTTCTTAAAAACAATGCTTTTGTCTTATTCTGTTTTATACCCCCGCTGCCTATTAGGTGCTCATAAATATTAATTTAACTTAAAACATTGCCCAAATTCCACTAATCCATATATTCTCTGTGATATAAAATATTTAAGAATAATTTTACAGGAGTAGATTAGAAGCCAAGGAGAAACCTCCCAACAGTTCAACCCAACAGACACCAGGACACATGGCAAGCATTTTTTGAGTGCCTCCTATGTGCCTAAAGCGTATGAGAGATGGGTTCCCTTTGCTGTAACAGCCTCAACCCTGAAGAATGTAGGTATGGGTGAGTGCTCTCTGAACCTGGACAGTCATTAATGGTGTGTGGCTGGGATGACTGAACTTCATCCACATGATTTCTCACATGCCTTTTTCTTTGAGGTTCTAACCTCACAAAGAAACCCTAAAAGCCATCTCTACCATCTAAATGTTAATTTATCATTGGGTTTCCTGGGTGTCTCTGACTCTCTGTTCCCCTCCTTATCTTCTGAGAGAGACTGTGGACCTTTATGAACCCCAGGTGTCTGGCTCTTTGGGGATCTTCCCTCTTCTTTCTACAGTGTTCTGCCCCTCCCTCCCTTCCAAGAGTAGCTCCATGCAGCCTTATACTTGCCAGCTCTCACGGGTTAGAAGGCTGATTCACCCAACCCTGCCCAAACCTCACACTGGTACTGGAAGCTACTACTGGTAGAAGTCAAAGGGATATCTGCCTGGCTTCCAAATCCTGAGTCCTCACATCTCCTAGAGAATACATTTTTCTAAGGTGCTTTATCTAGTATCTTGGGAAAAGTAGACAAGGTCATTAAAATAGAGCATGGTTTTATGGGCAAAATATGGATCCCGAATTGGATAAACTTTATTGTAATTCTAAGTTCTCCCCCAACTTCTTGTTGGACCTTGAAACTGTTCTTTGATCACAATTGCTTTAGAATTTAATTTAACAAGACAGTCACCCTTGGCCTGCCCGATTCTATTTCCCACAAGCACTGACTTCAGTAGGAAAACAACACTGGGACCTTTAGTAGGAAAACAACACTGACTTCCTTTGATACTACTATTGTCACAATGAACTTGAATTTTTTTTCCCCTAAGGAGCTGAAGTCAAGATGAAGCTATATAGAACTTTTCTCTTGTTCCTCTGACAGCTAGGGAATTTTATTGGGAATATATACAATGATGGAGGAGGAGATGCACAGGAGGGAAATTAGGTTTGTGTCAATCACCGCAGGTGCAAGCTCATTTCTCAGAGGCTAGAGAGATGATGATAGCCATCATAGCGGTGGCTGTAATGACGCTGATGAAGTTGACCTTGACAGCAGTTGACAGCAGGCCCTGCAATTCACAAAGTGTTTTACAGGGAGTTTTTCATTACATTATATTCTCAAAGTGACTAAAAAGCAAGTTCAATTAAGGGCCCTGTTTTTTTTTTTTTTCTCTCAAGTCTATATTTAAGCAGAACCCTTCTTTTCCAAGTTCTTACTTCCCTTGTTTCACTTTAATTTGGTCCTAGATGTATCTTGCCTTTTTCTTATTACAAGAACAATAGTAGTTATTTATTTTGTTCATTAAGTGTTTGAGTATTTACTACCAACTAAACTGTGCTCTTCTCTCATTTAATCCTTATGTTATTCAATGAGGTATTACAAATGTTATTACAAAGAGTAATTTGCTTCAGGTAAAATAACTCTAAATAGCTCAATTGGAATTTGAACCCAGGCCCAACTACCTCCACAGCCCAATCGATTAAACCTTGTAGTATTTATTGTTTATATTAAAGACAATGTAGGTGAAGCTCCCTGGTTAGGAGGAAAATGGTAACTCAGAGAAGTGATAGAAGCTGCTTTCTGACTAGACTGCCTCTCTACCACCTAAGTCTGTCCCTGTGCATGTTTTTGAGCCAGGTCCCACGTCCTTCCATGCAGGCTGCGGGCGTGGAGGCACGCCCTCCAAGGCCCCCTTCCTGTTCTCTGCTTGCTTGACGTCTTCGCAGCCATGCTGCCCTGGGGCCTGGGCAGAGCCTCGCAGAAGCCTTGGCTCACAGTGGCTTTGATTCTTCTCTTTTCAGGCCCAGCTTGGGACATTCTTCGCTTCTCTTCGCTTCCCCTCTGGGAGTCCCTTTCACCATCCCTGCACCTTGCTTCGGGCGATGCCCGAGAGGGAGCTGTGGCCAGCAAGGCCTGGCTCGGAACCCGTGACCTGCATCCGCAGCTGCGACAGCATGATGAGCGCCACCTCCACCCGCTCGGGATCTGTATGTACTCTGGCGTCTGCTGGCTGGCCCGCTCTCTGCACCCCTGCTCCGCCCTGCCTGTCCTGCCCTGCCACCCTCCTTGCCACCGCACCTTCTCTTTCATCTTCCTTGTCAGCGAGTGAATCACCACATCGCTGGTGCTTTCTGCCTGAGTCACCCTTGGTTCTATAGAGCACGGGGTGGGACAGCCTCAGAGAATGATAGGATCAATGAGAACCCCGTCTAGTCCCCAGCTTTCTTTAGGTTGAGGAGTTCAACTGCGGAGTTCCTAGCAGGCCTAGGAACCAAGGTCATGGTGGAAACTAGAACACAGATCCTTGCAGCACATGGGTTCATGAAGTTGTCTGCAACAAAGGGCATTACTTCAGTCTTCTAGGAAGATGGAAAAGAGTGGAGGGCTGGGGCTGTAGCTCAGAGGCAGGGCCTTTGCCTAGCATCTGTGGGGCCCTGGGTTCTATCCTCAGCACCACACAAAAATAAGCAAATAAAATGAGGGCATTCAGTCCATCTACAACTACAAAAAAGTTTAAAAAAAAAAAAAAAAAAAAAAAAAAAAAGAATGGAGTAATTGGGAGTCTTAATTTTTATAGCCAGAGCGATCTGGGTTCTCTAGTTATGTGACCTCAAGCAAATTACTTAATTTTCCTAAGCCCCAGTCTCCTCAGTTTTAAAATGGGAATAATATAACTCACTGGAGTCTTAGAGGAAGTAAATTAGCATTTAGCATTTAGCACTTGTCTCTGTGTAGAAAAGCCCATCTAGGAGAGACTGAGACACTTTGAAAATCACCGTTCAGCTATTTGTGAGTGGCATGTAACAAATTATAATTTGGGGAAGCATGAATTTAAATCTCAGTTGTAAGGCTTGTGTGAAAGTGTCCATCTGCCCTACATCCAAATGTAAGCATCCCTTTCTTGTTCATTGTCACATGCATAATAACCCAGAGAATTTAGATTGTATTGCTTCATATTTTATAGAGGTCTTTGAAAATGTAAAGATAATAAGTATCTCTACAGAATTCCAAGGATGTTTAATATAGTTAATGGGTTTTAATATGTAAAATGGAGCAGATAAAGCAACACAAAGACACACACACACACACACACACACACACAATGCAAACAACCTATGCAAGATTTTTTTGTGATCCCAGAGGATGGGGACAGGGAGATATCATCCTGTTCCTGATAGACTGAAGCCAGTATGAGTAGTTGTCACATTCCGTTGTACACAGAATGTGTTAGGGATTCCAGGTTTTCAGAGTGAATCACCCACAAAGGAGAAATTAAGAGTTGGCTTATCCCGGCAAGGCTATTTTAGAAGAAAAAGACAGTAAAGAAGATCTTTGTTCCAGTAACTTCAAGGGCTATATTTGGGGCTTCCCTTGACATGCAGGCCCCAGACGGTCATCAGACAGATGACTTTAAGGGCAGAGGCAACTGGAAGGGTTATTTAATCATCCTGTCTTCCCTGCAGGTTATTTTTAGGGTAATCTTAAAATCTTCCTTGGCCATCTGAGGGGATCTGAGAATATACAACTCTGAGATGTCCCAAATTCCAGGAGGACAGATGGAGAGGCCAAGAAAAGTCTTAGGACATTTCCACTTGTCCTTTTGGTTTTTTCCTTTAACCTCCTTGTTTGAAGAGCAACTAGTTCATCAAACTTCCTGGTTTAGTACAGCATGGGTAGAACCATCAGAGATGGCATAGTATCATCCTCCAAATATCCCTATGTGCTTTCTCACAACATAAATGATCCATTTTATGTCTATTTAGTTGCTTTCCCTTCCTACCTAATCAACCAGTTTCTCCACCCTCCCTGATTAAGTTAATATTTGGTTAAGAAATGCATACTTATTTGAATATTAGCCAGAGCCAAATGCCATTAAGAAAGTAAACTTATAAGGGGGAAAGAATCCAACATGGAACATATTTCAAAGTCAAGTGTAAAGTATTTAGTAAGCTTATCTGTGGCTAGTCATGCCACTGTTCCCCTTGGCCTGGCAGCCAGTACTTGGCTGCATTTCCTGTTTGTCTTCATATTGTCCTTGACATACCAGATCAAGTATGCAGAAGTATTTTAAAAAGTTAAAAGTAATACCATTCGAGTTTCAGGTCAAATCATTTCATTGTGCATATAATCTAGAGTTAAATCAGAGAAACTGAAATACTTGACAAAGGTCACACAGAATTGAAATCAGAACTTGAACTGCTTCTGATCTGTGCCCAGAAGCATTCCACCCAGGACCAAGCAAAAGAAAGCACCCTTGCCATCAGCCTGCCCAGCCACCAGATCTGGGTGCTGCAGGGGCCCCAGCCTGGCAATGTCTATCCTCCCTGGTGCCTGAAAATGTAGGAAACAACTCCATTGAGTTTGCAGAGTTGCACCAGCCACCAGCAAGAACATCTAGCTCCTCAGCCTTCTTTCCCCACAGCAGGGTGGTTCTCAGTCCCCACCAGTTTCTCCAGTGATAGCTCCCTCTCACACTCCCTCTCCCCTTCTGCAGAGTGACAGTAGCTACGACTTCCTGTCCGCAGAAGAGAAAGAGTGTCTGCTATTCCTGGAGGAGACCATTGGCTCATTGGACACTGAGGCCGACGGTGGACTCTCCACGGAGGAGTCTGAGCCAGCCACAACTCCCCGAGGTTTCCGGACACTGCCTGTCATACAGCCGGTTCCCCAGAGTAAGCCCATCCAATTGAGGGAGCACTTGTACCAACACCCAGAGAATCAGTGCCTCTTGGTCACTTCCCAGCTCCCCTGGCCTCTGTTCCCAGGCAGGAGGAACTCTGCACTTCTCACCACTCTCTTGGCCAGAATAAAGCCTTGTCCCTAGAGGGAAGGAGGGACTGCTGACAAGCCAGTCCTTTATGTCTTTCTGTGAAGTATCAGAGGCTGGGAGGGGAAGGGGTTTGTCTAGCTACTATCCTTTTGTGGCAAAATTCTAAAGAGATATGACCCCCAGGTGGAGGAGGGAATTCAGGGAAGGCTGGGTGGTTGGCTCTAGACAGACTGAGTCATTCCAGGGAGCTAATCTGGACGACCCAGAGGACAGGGCCATAGGAGATAAGAAGAGGGAAGGACTCCCCAGCTGCAGTTGGTGGTACCTAGAGGCCCTTCTTGAAGAGGGCGGCATTCAGGCTCAGTAGAAGAGGACAGGACAGGAAGGCACATAAGCATGGGTCATATGTCCCAGAGTTTAGGGACTTTACTCTCAATGACAGTCCCATTGGATTCAGGGTTACAATTATTTATTAATTTATTTATCGAATATTTATCGACAATGTGTTACACCCTCCCTGTAGATAGAGTAATAAATGGGCTGTGCCCCTTGCAGCACCTGAGGCACCTGCTGAGCTTGCAAGAAGGAAAGAGGTCATGTCACTCTGGTGCAGGACACTGTGCTATTATAGAATTGGCCAGGGGCTCATAGAAGGTGAAGGCAGAAGACAGACTGGTCAGATCAAGAGCAAATCACTTGTTCAAATATTTCCATTGGGCTCAGTTACCCAGGAGCCCCAAGATGACTAGAGAGAACCGATTCTAAATCCAACCTTGATTTTGATGCGTTTGAAGAAGGTTGGAGGAGCCTAAGTAAAGGATATGGAGCAATCAGGGGTCAGCCTCTCCCCAGCCATCATGAAAAAATAATCCTCAGTCAAAAGGAATCTGCCGTTATTGATCTATTAGACTAGATGATTTCCAGACAAGAGTGGTGCCCTTTTTTTTTTTTTTTTTTTTTAGAGAGAATTTTTTTAATATTTATTTTTTAGTTTTCGGCGGACACAACATCTTTGTTTGTATGTGGTGCTGAGGATCGAACCCGGGCCGCACGCATGCCCAGGCGAGCGTGCTACCGCTTGAGCCACATCCCCAGCCCCAAGAGTGGTGCCCTTTAAAAGCAAAAAAATAAAATAAAATAAAAAACGAAACCCATTCCTTGCTTAGTTGGAGAGCAGAGTTCAAGTATTTGTTTTCCCCTCTGTAGTAGGGTTCTCACCTCTTTCCACTCTCTACCTGTTCTCCCTGACCCTCGCAGGAAACTCAGAGAAGACAATCATTCAGCAAGGACCAGAGCCA